TCTGTAGATATAGAGGGTGCAAGACGATCCAGATTAATAGTGTTAGGGTTAAAGTGCCAAATATCTGTAACTTTATAAGCATTAGTAATTGCTTCAGATGTGTAGATTTTTATATATACTGAACCAAACATTTTGGCGAACGTGTGTTTGATTACTAATTCACCACTCTCACTATAAAGCTTATTGCAGGCTTTGCTATATTTGGTTTTTAGTTTGGAAAAATATATTTCTGATGGCTGTAGGATATGAGTTGTATGCAAAGAAAGGGTATATAAAAGAATTCTATTTTTGTAGCAAAACTTGATACTTGTGTAATTTATATGACTCGAGTAGCCATCGAGCATTAAAAGAACTGGGCGTCGAGAAGAAATTAAACTAACAAAATGCTTGATATACATTTGGAATAGGTCTTCTTTTATATACTCTGAGTAGTGATTTGAATCGGTTGGGCTATAATCGGTTAATCGACCTGAACTGAATAATTTTCGGTTAACTGGTTAAGGAAATTCTTAATTGGTTGACACGATACAACCGTTTGAGAATTTGGTAATCGGTTGTTAGAATTGATATAATATGAAAATGATGTAAGAAGAGAGTAAAGGGTCTGAAAAGTTCTAAAAAGAAAATGAATGAACATAAAGACAAGAGAGTAAAGCTCTGAGAATTTCCAATAGTAGTGATAGTTAATCTTAACCGGTTGGCAATCGGTTGAATGAAATAATTCAGTTCGGTTAACCAATTAAGGAAATTTTTCTTGGTTCAAATCATTAACTCTGAGTTAATAAAGCCCATAATGGTGCTAGCCAGGGCACCATCTAATAAATAAAGAATTGTGTGAATACCCTTATAAATAATTAAGGGTGGTATATAGCCGCTAGCAGCTGAAATAGTCAAGGCAACAGAAATATATTCATGTGAGTTTCTGTGTAAAACTTTGTGTATTTAGCAGGAACCTTTAGTAGTAATGCCTTTTTGTATCTTAAAGGTTATAACAAAGCTGGTTTCATCTATATTTCAGATTTGGTCAGCAGTAAGTGAATGTTCTTCTATTATGTTACAGAGCTTATTGAAGTAATCTTTAACAATTATTGGATTAGCTCTTTGTACATACGCCTCTAACAATGTCTGAGATATACGAAAAGACAAATTAGGGTAATCTTTCATGAAACGTGCTCACTAGACCTTGCCAGGTTTATTATTTTTAAAAGGATGATTATAGTTTTTGCATTTTACTATATTTATTACACAGTAATTAACATCTGATCTTGTAAGACCAAACCTTAGCTATTGCATATTTTTACAATAGCCAACTAATTGTTCTTCTTCATAAGCACTTAAGATTGTTGCAGAGCCAGAACAGTCGGGTAAGCAATTATTCTTAACTGTATACTTTAAAGTCATTAATGCAATTTCAAATCTTGATGTAGTCTCTCAAATGCTAGGTTTTTGAGATTTAGAAAGTGCTTTAAGAGCGAGCTCAATGGCATTTACATATTCAGTTCAGTTTGATTGAGAATTTGGATTAGCTATAGTAGGTTTGATTACAGGTTTGAACTTGGACGTGACTTTAGAATACATTTTGGTTTTATTTTTTTTTATTTATCTTTTTTTTGGGTCTTTAATTTTTTATTCCTATTTATTTATTTTTTTTTTCAATTGTAAAGTTTTATTTCTCATAAGATTATAACTCCGTTTGTTTGTAGTTACGATTTTAAATTCGTTTGTTTCAATCGCAATTATGATTATAATTGTTTTACTTGTAATAATGATAACACATGGCTGTGATTATTCATCCTTGCGATCGTGATTACGATTGTTTTATAATTTATTTGTTGAATTACGATCACAGACTTGTTAATTGTCCAATAACAAAAGAAAAAAAAAACAAACCGTCTATTACGAAAATAGCAAACTTACACAAAGGCAATATTACTATAATTAGCTATTTACAGATATAGCACTGTTAGCTCTGTAATAACAAAAGAAAAAAAATCACCTATTACAAAAATAAAAAGTTTATATAAAGGCGATATCGCTATAACTAGCTATTTACAGAAATTTGCTAAATTAGCACATGAATAGCCAGGTATATTTGCGATCATGATTGTATTTCATCGCAGCATATTAAAATTCAGGGTTGATACAAATTTAGCACAATTGTAAGCATTAAAGTATAATGCATGATAATAAGTTTTAAAGAGCACTTTTAAGCAAAAAATTTGATCCTTCTCCTAAGCAGAATCCATTGCCTAATCATTATTAGTAGTGCATTCTGTGGATTACTCATGAGTATTTCATGGTTTGTCTTATGAATCAAAGAACAATTATAATGTGCAAAGAAACAAATGAAGACAATTACATAAAAATGTATACACATGATTCACCATAATATCTGTTTAGAAGAAGAACAGTATTTTTGCTTGAAAATGGCCAAAGATATTTATTTGTCTTTTGTATGCAATCACGATCAGAATTGTTTTACAGTTTTGGGATCTAATTAAGTTGCGATAACAATCATGATAATTTTTTTAGACAATTAAGTTATTAAAAAATAAAATTAGTACTAAAGTTGTAAATCAAATGACAGGTAGAAATATTTCTTGAATAATATATATAAATATAATTATTTCGTTTATTGCTCATGAAAAAAAGTTGTTATATATTAAAAATGAAGTACCTTTCTGATCTACAATATGAAGAAATTAACAATGCAGTCTTAATTCTTTGTAATAATTTAATTAATAGTACCTACGACCCTAGTGAATTTAAAGATCGAATGAAATTCACTCTTCTGACTCTCTATAACCGGCTAATTGATATCATAAAATACTTATTAAAATTAATTATCTCGAATGAAACAATTAAGCCAACTGACAATTATCACCTGTATAGTCACCAATTCGATAGAATTAAATTTTTCGTCATTTTCTTTGGCGATCTTATGTATAATTATGAACTTCTTGTCAAAATGGATTATATTTTTAGGCAGTACAAAAAATTTGAAAAAACTGCATATAAAGATATCATTTTTGATATGGAATATAGATATAGGTACACTTGTAAAGGGTTAGAGATGTATAAATTTGCCAATTTGTTTTGTAAAAGAGATAAATATAATTCTAGTTTCTAAAAATTTTATTGTGATTGTCATTCACTTAGTGAAGAGGAATTAGGTTTATATCATAATAACTTTTGCTTACTTTAACATAAATATATCATCAAGAAATTAAATTATATATTTCATTAATAAATTACTTAATTAGGCGAGATTGTCATGGTGCATGCAGACACATTAGTTAATTTTCGGTGTTTTTTATTTTTTTTATTAATGTTGCTTATATCTTTTGGCCAAAAATTTCAATTAAAGTGATTTTGACACTATTCAATTCGTTTTGATAAGGTAAATTAAATGGTGTTAAAATCATTCATTTCTAATTTTTGTATTACAAGATACTTTAAAAAAACTTCAGTGCGCCACATTACCATCCATGCCAGAATACCTGACCCTCCCTTATGTCAATTGATTTTGGACATATGTCTAATTAACTTTGAAAACAATTGAATATAGTAGTCTTCTTAACACTGATATATACAGTATATATGACATATATGTACATATACATATGTATACTGTATAGTTTTTAAACATCACTATTATACATACAAAATTATAATGTCTAATGTACAAACTATTACTTAACTATATATATATAAAACACATTGATTTAGAATTAACTACATCAAGATGTCCATATTATACGTAGTATATCAACTCGTGCCCTGATGCTAGTATTGTTATTTATATATTTTTTTAAATTTTGTTTTTTCATTTTGGATCTTAGTATACAATACTGCAGTAGCTGGGCATATATAATTATAAAATTATAATTAAAGACTTTTACCTATGGTGTTTGCATCTATGGTGTTTTACACCTATGAATACATTATTTCAAATCTGGTTAATTAATCAATGTGGGTGTTCTAAGTAAAAATGTTCTATACTCCAAAAAACCCTTTTCAAACATTAACTCTAACTCTAAATACTAACCCTAATGTGAAAATCTTTGCAGTAAAATTTTATATATAAAAACTTAGACAAGTTTATAAAACATAAAAACATGAAGTGTCAAACCGTCATAGGTGCGTTTATAATAAATGATAATTAAATTAACTATTTTAAACTATAGACAATTTTGTAAGTATATAGTTTATATTAAGGTTAGAGTTTAAAATAGTTTTTATATATTATAAATTTATAATTATATCGATATATGCCCAGCTATACTAAATAAGATTCATCAAATCTAAATAAGAAACCACTAATTAATTAATTTTGTGTAGCTTAATAAATTAACAATACGGAAATATCAAGATTGCAAGACCTCAATGTCTCTAAATCACAGTATATATAAAGTTCTATATATTAAAAAAAAAACCAGAAATATGATGTTCCTGCCTAGCATCACATGATTTTGTATCACTCTACCCGTTGTTTAACAACGGGTCGAAGAAACTATGAAGATTAGCGTTAGTAAATCCTAATTTCCGATAAGCAAAAAAATACAGTATTATTATTTACAACTCACCTGAAATTTTTTATAAAATAACAGAGGTAATTTTTTTTACAAAGTTAAATAATTGGCTCTCATATGAATTTTAAGTGATGGTACTATATCTCCTGGAAATCTTTATAGATAAGATCATTTAATGACACTCATATGTGAATATCGGATTTTTTCCGTGGGGATAACGATAAGCAATACTAAAAATTGATAAAGTTTCAGTGGATTATACGTACAAAAAAATTTTTTGACTGTGAATACATATCAGATACCGGTATCGGTAATACGTACGTACGATATATATATTTTTTTTCTGATTATCATACTTGTCATCGTTTCCTAAAAAGGAGATATATACTTATTATTACGGTATAAAATATAACGATAATTGTATTTTTTTTTTATGTCACATTCGCTTCAACTTCAGGGTAAAAAAAAATGTCTTCAAATTATAATGACCCTTATAACTCTTACATAAATCTTTCGAATCCAGTCAATTTACCGGATATGTCTCAAGAAGAACTTGATGCTCATTTAGAGGAGTTCTGGTCCAATGCGCAGTTCACTTTTGAAGTTCAACCTAATATGAATTTGATGGAAGATGCCTTTGAAGTTTCGCCGAGTGTAGACGCCAAAATGGAACAAGATGTACTAGTAGCTGCACAACCCACTATGTTAACTCAACAAGATACTTTGTCCCTTTCTAATACGCCTCAAACGCAACCAACGATATATCACCCTATGCTTTCTTATCCTGCTGCCAATTCAATCATGACTACACATTTACAACCTATTTCTGTCGCACCGGCTGTCACTACAGCTGTTACTACAGCATCAAATACTACAACTTTTCCTCCGATATACCCAGCTCCTCCTGTAGCGGTTTCTAACAATGTAACTAAGGAAGAAGCTGCTACATCAACAGGTTCTACTCAAAAGAATACTACCGGAATTGCAAACCCACCGTCTCGTAAGAATTCATCAACAAGAGGATCGAAAACAGATTCCACCTTAATGCATACTGATTCTCAAACATCTCAAGATTCTGAATTAGCTGCTAAAATAGCAGCTGAAGAAGACAAACGAAGACGTAATACAGCAGCATCTGCCAGATTTCGTGTAAAGAAAAAAATACGTGAACAAGCACTTGAAAGGACTGTGAAAGAAATGACCTCAAAGGCCGAAACACTTGAGGGTCGGGTGAAAGAGCTCGAGATGGAAATCAAATGGTTGAGAGGTTTGATTGTAGAAAAGGATGCTAGATTGTTGGATATTGAACGTCCTGATAGAAAACATAAGAGCTCAACTGAAAGCAAGGGCACAGAAACGGCCTTAAAGGCAGAATCCAACGATCAGTCAAACCAAAAAGATTAAAATGTAACATAAAATCCAGTATACCGAATAATATTAACAGAGGTTATATTACTGCATTATTCTTTCTTTTTTTTTTTTTTGAATTTTAATGAATTTTAATGGGTCATCTAACAAAATATTCTAATTTAGGATAAAATTAAAAAAAATTTTTTTAAAGCCAATAAAACCTCTATTATATATTGTTAAATGAACAATTGTGGCTTTATTAGCACCTTTATGTGCATAAACAATTAATTAAAATCTCACTTGTTATTTTATTTCTTATTATGTTATTTCAAAAATTTGTAATAAATTTCAAGTCTAAGGAAAGTACCGATCCATGAAACTATTCATGTGGATATAGTATAATTTATTTGTAGAACTGCCCAATATAATAATACAGATATCTGAAACACACTTGTATTATACTTAGATTACCCTCTCTAGTAACAGTAATTGTTAATATAGTCATAATAATCCTTATAAATAAATTGATAATGGCATAAGAATCTTTGCTTTGTATATTGTACAGTATGGATATTGTATGGTTCTGTAGTTTAGTAGTCTTATCAATTAAGTGTGTATCAGGTTCAACATCATGACTTACTTGTTCTACGTTGAATAATTAAGAAATTTGATGTAATCATTGAACACAGATATCAAAAATCCTGACAAGTTAACCAGCATTAACTAGAACGCTGGTCAATTTGTCGGAATTTCGTCTGTCAAAATTCAATCACATCAATCACATATATTTAAAATTTAAAAATTCAATTATAAATAGCAATCGTTTCTGTTTTATTATACAATACAAGGGTCTCATTAATATCAACCTACTTGGCCCAGGCAATTTGGATGATATATCGCTAAAAGAAAACCCGAAAATTTAAATACGTATAAGTCATATTTAAATTTTCGGGTTTTCTTTTAGCGACACTCATATACTAATATAAAAATAATTATTTATATAGTCCGAACTCAATTTTTTTACTAAGTAATCTACCTTTTGGCTTCTAACAAAAGTTGTAGAGAACATTCTTACGATTCTAATGGTGGTAAGATCATTAAATTTGACCAAGAAGATTACGTTTTACGTTTCACGACTATAAAATTATCTTTACAGTCATACGCAGATCACAGGGGTAAATTTTTTACTATGAAATTTGAGTGATCGACATGCATATCAGATATGATGGGCTCATTTTTCATAGTAAATTGCAACGGTAGGCCTTTTTCGAATGCCGTTTTCAGGGGTTTCTTAAAA